TGATTTAACGGGCATTCTTTCACGCCTTAAATACTAGACTGAGTTTTAAGTCTTGTTATTAGACTTTCATCATTTTAAAGGTCCCTAAATAGATGATGGGAACTAAATGGCTGTAAACTTACTCGTGTTTAAAAGCCCCATGATGTTATATATCAGAACCACGCAGTTCAAACAAGCTAGGCAAAATGCATTTCTACCAAATAGCATCCTGGGTAAATGGAGGAACAAAATACTAAAAAAATGCTAATAACGTGGTATTCTTGCACAGTATGCTCTCGGCACAGTGGTTGCTGCGACAAAGGCATCTAATGGGCTCCCTCAGCCTGGCGATGAATACGACTTCTACCGAAGCTTCCCTGGCTTCCGGGCATACTGTGAGACACAGGGTGACCGTCTCCTTCACTGGTAAGGATGTGATTGCGTCTCTGGGCCGTTGCTAATAGCTTCCAATCCAAAACAGAAGGTAGCACCCGCGCCCTTCTTTGGAGACTCCAAACTTGCTGTAGATAAAAAGATGTTTTATTTCACATACCTAATTTTAGCTACTTTTCTAGCACTTGAAAGTTTTAAGTAACAAGTTTATAGACAGCCTTTCATAATGATTTGGATAAGAGCTGTGCAGGGAGCAGAGGCTGATATAAAATGCATTAGGCTATCTATTTAAAAAGTTAAGTGGTTCATAAGAAATTAATTCTAACGCTTAATGCTGTGTAGGTGCTTCTTCTATTCACTGCTCACGCGATGTTACCCATAGGTACTGCATTTGATTTCTTTTCAAACTTTGAAGATGTAGAAAGTTGAAGAGAATTGGACGGTTTAGTGTTCAGCATGCCTGCTTTCAAATTGCTAATAGCCGTACTGTTCTCTTGCAAGCATGAGCAAGGTGATGCAATACCATGGCTGCCGTAGCCACATGAAAGATCGCAGCAAAGTGACAGAGCTGGAAGATAAATTTGATATGCTGGTTGACTCCAATGACATCATTCTTGAAAGAGTGGTAAGCAAATTATTTCTGGATGTTGTTTTTATAAACTGTTCAGTTGCCACAATTTTTTTTTTCCACTGCAAGAATTTTAGTAGTAGTGCTTTTACAGTTATGTTTAGTGTTTCCTCAATCTGGTAGTTTTCCTTTTTATTTTAACAACATTTCCAAGTGCTAGGCCAGTGGTCACAGCAGCTAAGGCAGATAGATTATGGCCTAAAAGTAAGGAAGGTAATATGTGACTTGTGAGGAAACTAAATACGGTTTGGTACAAGAACCTCACAACCTCAGAACAGGTCTGTAAATTCACAGAGCTGTTTCTCTGAGGAAACACTTCCTACCCCTGATGTTCAGCATGCTTCTCCCACATTTGTCTGTCTCACGTTGCACAGAATTTGGGGGAAATGGCTGTGGAGGTTATCTACCTGTGTGACTTTCTTTATTCAATCTGACTAGAGTGGCTGAGTACGGTGATTTAACAGGTGTTTGGTTTTCACCTTGCTTTTCTGGAATTTAGGGTATTTTATTGGATGAAGCAGCAGGAGTGAACAAAAACCAGCAACCAGTCCTCCCTGCTGGGTTACAGCCCCCACAGACAATCATTTCCAGCTGGAACCGCAAGGTGAGGCCTCTGCTCTCGGTTTGCTGTGTTTATCTTAGCTTTTTTCCCAGCATCGGCACTACTGATTTTCCAGTGGAGTTGAGTAGTTAAATGTTCCATCACGTTTTTTTACATGTCCTAACTTCCTCTGTTTTCCTTTTCCTATTTATTCAAACTTGATTCTGGATTCTGTGTGCTTTCCATTGCCATTTCAGTTTCATGTACACAACAGCCTTTCTTTTGCTTATTCATATGAATTCAGGATGCCGATTCAGAGAACTTTCATTCTTAGGTGCTGGACTTGCTGCAAAAGAGTGACTCACTTTTGAGTTTGGAGTACAACTTTATTCCTCTGAATATTGGGTCAGGCTGAGTAAAAGAAATTCTGAACATCTGTTAAGTCATGTGAGTTTTACCTGTGGTTTACCTTTTTTTAAATAGGCGGGAGACTCTCACAAGAGAAATCAGTCTGAAACCTTCCGACTGCTTCATGCCAAGAATATCTCTCGACCACAGCTTAAGTTTCGGGAAAAGATTGACAATTCCAACACTCCCTTTGTACCTAAACTTTTTATCAAGCCAAATGCTTTGAAACCTTTGCCTGAAGGTAAGAGGTTTATTTTTTGTTGGGTAACCTATTGAGAGTATTTTACACAAATCTGTCTTCACAGTCTAGAGAAAAAATCATTGACTGTAAGAACAAGTAACAGCGGGAGATGTTGACCATTTAGGTGCAGGAAGCTCTGTGACGCTGTTGTTTATATATGTGCAATGTAAGGGTAGGTCAGCATACAGCATCTTCTTGTTGTATACAGTAAATAATCTGTTCCAAACAGATATTCTGCTGCTTTTCTTTACCACCATTGAACGTGCATGATGTGAGTCACTCTGGCACCAGAAGTGGTCTCGACTAGTCTAGTTGGCTTTACAGATACTTCTTTCTAATTAGTTAGGAGCGCCAGGTGTAAGGTTAGACCTACCTTTACTTTGGGTGCTTTATCAAAGCCGCCGGCGTAACATCCTGTCTCAGCAACATGTCATTCTGCTGCTGCTGATTCATCCTTAGTCTGCACTGATGCAGTTGTACTTCTGGTAGCTGGGAATGATTGAAAGATTTTTCTGAAGATTTTTCAATCTCCTTCCAAGCTCTTGAGCAGAGCCACCTTGCGTCTTGCTTAACAACAGCCTGGTAAAACCTAGTAACTGACTTGTCATTAGAGGTGCAGACAGAAATCTTGCTGACAGCAAAAGCTGCAGGTCTAAATTGTTAAGATTTTTGATGCCTTATGATTTTAATGATATCTTGTGGTGGGTGGAGGGGAGAGAGAAGTAGGCTGAGAACATGTTATGTGTGGGACCCAGTCCAGTTGTTCCATGTTGGTTGTTCAGCCCTCACAAAAAGTGGACGGGAACGAAAGGAGCGCCCTGAAGACTTGGATGTACCAGCTGCTTTGGCAGACTTCATACACCAGCAGAGGACACAGCAAACTGAGCAAGACATGTAAGAAATTAAACTGACAGCAGGGTGCTTGGAGTACCGTTGGTGAACGTGCACTTGTATGGTCCCATTGTGCTGATGCTATTCATGCGTAACAGCTCTGCATGTGTTTGTGTCCGCACACTATGTTGCGTGTGATTTGCTTTAGACATCCGCAGTTATTTTAAACCTAAACCTATGCTTAATAAGAGACAAAATTTCTACTCAGTAGGGAAACTGCCATAGCTCTCAAAGTCTTTGCGCTCTGGCTTCATAAAGATGACTGAAATTTAGCCTGTGCCTGTCTTCCTAATTTCCACAGGTTTGCTCACCCTTACCAGTATGAACTGGAGCATTTTTCTCCACCAGATGGAGTTCTCAAGAAACCAGAACCCCAGGTTGGTGCCCACGTTAATTTAAACTTACTGCAGATGCAGTAAGTTTACAGCCAGCCAT